CAGAGTTGATTCCTGCCACAACAGCAGAGCATCACAAATCACTTTTTATGAAAGTTCTATTAAAGAGGTAAACTTTACACAAGTGCTTGCAGTTTTAAATATTCTGTCCAGAGTATTGCACTAGATTCAGTGGGTATGCAACATTCTGAGCTCGTCACTTTCTCTTCATATCCTACACAATATGTGAAGATCAGATTTCAGTGTAAGGGGGAAAACTTGGCGGAGCGAATCTGCGTTTGCCAATAAAAGCGAAGAGACGATCGTTTATCGGATCTGTTGCAACTACGTCCAAGAAACCGGAAGACAGCTCCGAACGCGAATGATTGAACACTCTGCAGCGGTGCGGATAAATGATGCCAGTTCTCAAGTTGCGGCCACACATTCAATTTTGACAAGGCCAAAATTCTCGCAAGAGGTAACAACCGCGTGAGCCGGGAGCTGCTTGAGTCATGGTTTACTGGCCCCCAGTCTATGAACAAGTTCTATGATCTTACCCTTCCATAATCGGGGCTAAGACTTTGTCTAGGCGGAGTAATTGGCCACGCGGGGAGCGCACTGGTGAACACTCTTTCCAACACCCGGGTCAGCGCGTCAGATGGTCGAGCAATCATCACACCAACATCTAACACATCTGATAAAATTGCACCAATTAAAACCGAATAATACCCTTCTTTCGAGTATAAGATTGGAAGAAGACGTAATGTTCTACCGAATGAGCGGAAGTAGGAATGTTGTTATACATGTTTTCCATTAAATATAATTTGAGTTTAAGGGGCATCGAAAATCAACGAATAATGCATGCCGTTTAAGTATTCATTTTTATAGAGTGCAGTTTTTGCATGCAACCGAAAGGAAGTTTATTCGAAAGCCGGCATCCTGGGGTAACTGAGATATTATAGAATTAGGTTGCATGCCGACTAGTTTTACAACCCCATTTAATTAATCTTCTCGAAACGCAAACGAATTTCAGAATTTCGGTTGACATTTCATGAGTTAGTCCAGCTGATGCACGGATAAATTAATCTGTTAAGAAATGTAGACTTGATTGCCTATGCCGACTTGAAATTTTTATGCCAGCAATACATGTTTGCGGCCAGTTAATTTTACGGTTTCATTACGGCGAATGCACGTTGGCCTCGAGTGTACGAGAGGTTTGTTTTATTAAATTTAATCTTACAAATGAGTTAAATACAACTAAATGCAAGACTAGTTGTAATTAGCAACATTTATCAAAAACTATATACGGAATAACACGCTGCTAGTGAAATACCAAGTGGACGTGATCAATAACTGTGAATAATCGAACCTATATCAGCATTTTGGAGAGGCAGACATGATTAGATCCTAATTTTTCCGATATCTTCAATGGTGAAGCAATGAAGTAACTCCTTCATCTGACAAACATTAAGAAACACAATCCTCGCGGTTGCATAAAAGTCCAGGATTAAAGGCGTATTCCGCCTCTTGAGTAAGAACTACAGGAAGATATGTGGCATGCAAATACTGTCACAGATATCGGGACTAATTTATGAATTGCCTTTATTTCGATTGCATATCTTGATTCTGCATGTAAACTTATTACATTAGTGGCGGTTTTTTCCCAGAAAAATGGTTAAGTAATTAATATTTAGAATAGGCGTCAAAGACATGTTTCTTAGTACCCACGTCATCATAATATTAACGACAATATTGCCTCCCAGGCATCGAATTGAAGACCAAACAACTCACTGAGAACCCAGTAGAATGCATCTTTTGCCAACAATATTAAGCTCGAAGTACGATTTTAGCTAGACGCCAACCATGGGGATCTTCGGAAAAATTAACTGTTAATTGAGCCGTGGCTGTATATTGACATTTCAATGTCTGATTTGACCATTCGTGACCCGATATCTGACATGTATGGGGCTTGAGAATCGGAAACTCTTGTTTGACCTGCAGCCCTTATAGTCAAACAAACCCATCAACTTTCTCGTCATGTATTTGTCTATATGGTGTCCACGCTAAAGGAGGAAGCTACTGTTAACCTCTTTGAGGAAAGCAGCAATTGGTTCATGGTGAAGAAGTTGACGCGATCGACTGAAAAAGAATTTAATCCGCCAGTCGTCATGTTACCACTTATCTATGAATGTTCATGGCTGTCCCCCTCATCCGGGATCGTTGCACCTGGTGCGATGACTGTTTGATGACCGACATTCACGTGATTAATCGTTGGATGCCATCTGACCTACCGACCCTGGTGTTGTGAACAGTGTTCTCCTGTGTGCTTCCCAAGTGGCTGGGTACTCCGGGTAGGCGAAGTCTCATCCCCGAATATGAACACTGAAGGCCATTGCACTTGTTAAGGGACTGAGGGGGGGCAGTGAAGCATGACTCTATTGCTTCACAGTATCCAAATTATTGATCCGCAGTTGCATCCGTTGATAGCACAACGTGTGAAGAGTTTTTGGGTGCAGACGCCCACTAAAATGTGAGAACTGCATTCTAATGCGTCTACCACCGTAATGCAACAATCGTTTTCGACGATTTATAATTTGCAATGTGACGAATCGCGCGAACAAACTGAAATGCCCGAGTTTCCTGGACAGTATATATTACTCTCTTCTCGGGGTCCCCCGTAAGCTTCCAAGGTAGCAATGCCTCAATTCTCATACAGTTAGTGACCTAACTCATGAAATGTGTCGAAATTTACGAATGCTTGCCATTCACTCGCAAACCGACACCATGTCATACGTCCAGTGTCTCTGTTGATTAATTACACGTCTGAAAGAATTAAAAACATAAAATAAATATTAAAGTCAGTGTTGCGTTGTTTAGAAATGCTGATTTATTTTGATAAGCGCAATATCCCGAAAACGATAGTAATGGCTCTTATTAAATAAAGTTCGTTTTTAAATGTATAGAATGCATTCTCATACCAAAATCGTAGTAAATATTAATGAAAACATACATAAACGTCTAATAACAGTGCTTTAGCGAAGGTTAAATTTTAATATCCCTATCTGGGTTATTACCGCACTTTCGAGCACCAAATCTCACAGATCTGCTCATCTGACATTTAGAAATTGATAAAACCTTTAGTTTTCTTAAAATAACTTTTGCGTTAGCAGATTGATCACCATGGTTAACATTGGACATAAAATAAATTTTCAAGTTCGGCTTAATATGTGTAATAAAACTCTCTTGGGTAAATTACTATCCTTTCAATGAAAAAGTCGCTCAAATTCGTAACCCGAGTCTAGGACACGTACTAGCATAGGAAATTACACGAATGTCATCCAACGTCCATTTTCGCTAAAATCTATTGATATTTTACTTCACACAATTACGTAAACACAATTTATGAACAAGAAAAGGACATATTATTGAAGGATGTGGGTGAACGAACAAAATACGCCACGTTAAAGGCGTCCAGAAATTCTCGCATCAGATTCCGTTATCAGATTTCATGAGATAGGTCACGCACTGTAATTGCTCTGAAGGCGCGCAGTTAGCGCAATGATCACGCAGCCTCTATCTGTTTTTCCTAATACTATATTGACACGTAAATCGTCATGGCTGAAGTAAATTTCCAGGTTGCGTTTGAATTAGTGAGTAGTGGAATTAACCTTGCCTACTTTTGACATTATGCATTGTGCTAGGAGGCAACTTAATTCAGTAACGTGACTACTTAAAGCCTACTGTCATCGTGCTCTGAAGCACTTCTAATGCAATCTACTACCATGCAATGTGACATCGCAAATTCAACTGTCTTGACTCACATAAGCATACTTGGGTCCGGTGGAAGGCGGCATATCGTTCTTGACAGAACGATGCTCGCAAAAACCCTCACTTGCACCTATGTGGTTGTGTGCTTGAAAGCGCCTCGATGGACTTACTGGGATACTAATTCTGAGAGCATTAATTTCGAGGAGTTTTCACGAGATTTACTCCTCTATTCTCGACTGCATCATCTGCTGTATATTCTGAGATTACTTGTGCTATGTTGCAGTTTTGACTAAATTCTCACGCTATATTCAAATTGAATACCGATATTATCGTTTTACGGCACTACTAGAATTAACAAGGCTGCATACTGCTGGTCTGACTTAAACTAAATAAACTACAACAGTATCACTGATGCTTATGGTAATGATGGTTTGAAGGCCCCCACGCATCTGCGACAATCAAAGAATACCTACGATACTTACTTAAGTGAGTTTTAGTCCGACACGGTTATTTCAGTTTGATGTTTCATCGCACAAGGTTGGGTCGTCTGTTATAGGCGGTCTGCTGCATAATCTACAGTGACTTCAGCTCAAAGAGTTGAGTAGCAATCGTTGTAGACACCTAATGTTTTATTTGTTTAACTGTCCTGCTTAATTTCGGTCGCTCTATGTCGGTGCATTAAAACTCTTCCGCCATTTATTTACCATTTATCTACATTTATTTTGCCATTCTTCTATGCATACATAGGCCCCGCCGTAAAACCCCTATAGCCACCTTTCCCGTGAGATAGGCATCTTTGTCCGTTCGTGTGTGTTTGAGCTCCTTCGCACGATCGTTGCCGAAGTCGAGACTTGCCTGTATGTTCCCTTAACAAAATAACCAAAGACAACACTTAAATTTTATTAATAACTCCTTACCGTGTTGTCGTCCAATATCTTAAAACTGACTTCCGTACTCGAATATCCCCAAGGCAATAAACTATGCTGTAGGCCAAGCGTAGATTGAATGAAATGACACATGCGTTTTTCTGGGTCGGCTATTCTCACGAACAAACATGAAGGTCATATATGATTTCTAAGAACGCCCATCAGGAGTGGCTATTTTGTGCAAATTGATAAACGCATTCCGACATTCATACAGACGTAAATGAAAATTCACACCCAAAAGTCTATTTTTTTGAATGCGAAAGCACATTTTACCAAATGGTCATGAAGCGTCGAAGAAAACACCGAAGACCATGTAAACACAAAAGAAGATACCATCACCAAAACGGTAAAATATTTGATGCGAATGGATTAACCTGAAACGTTCGGAAAGAGGAATTAGACATTAAGCTGCACAAACTATGTGAAACGGTTACTAATAAAGAATTATCATCTCAAAAACAATAGATAATCGTATACCGAAAAAAGAAAATCTTCAACGGAAAGAAAAACAATGACAAAACAGATACGGAAAGATGAGAAAGAAAGGTGAAGCTAATCCTCAAAAATGAAAAAGCTAAAGTATGTAAAAGATTATGAATAGAGAAAAGACTAAGACAGTAAAATTGAAAAGAGAGAATGAAAACAAAGGGATGTACAAGAAAAAATGCCAAAAAGAAAAAAAGGAAAAGACGCAAAAGCAAATGAAAAAAAAGATGTACCGCAAAAGTAGATATAAAAGGAAAGGCAGGTCAGAAAAAACTGCGAGAAGGAGAACGAACAAAAATAAAGTAAAAGAAAAAACATGAAAAAGATATTTGCGAAATAAGTGAGAAAACGTAAACCTCTGCTACAAAAAGAGGCGACGGGAAAATGAAGGAGCAGGGGAGATTAGCAGTAAATAGGAGGAGCACTCACTTTCTTCGCCGCAGGTCTCTTGGCAAGCCTCTAAGTCATCCCCACAATCCTCCTTAGAGTCAGTGCAAGGTACGCAGGTCTTGGAATCTGGGTTGCATTTGTAGCCGCCTGCTTCGGGGCTGATGACTAATAATATGGGGTGTGGTTGGAAATAGAAGGGTTGGATTTAGATTTGACGAATATTTGTTTAATACTCTTCACGTTATTATGTTCTTCTGCATTTCAATTCGTCGAAATTCCTGTCGTTATGACTTATATTGGACATTGCATAGTTTTGCACAAATATCCTCATGCAGACTACAGGCATCAGCATGATCTCTGACGGCGGATAATGACCACCGATCAAGTGTGTCGTAAAGGGCATGAGATTTGTCAGTTTGCTTGTACTGTGCTGAATTCGCCGATTGGTGTAGATAGCAAGGAAGGTGTGAGAGAGTCTACTCACAGCGCCACAAAAATCACGACTCAGTCCTGATATAGAAGAGGAAAAGAAGGAGGAGGAGGAGGACAAAGACACCACTAGGACTAGTATATTCTCTACAGAAGCCTGCCGGCTGTCAGAGCCCCAGACGCGGGGCCGGCTGTAGGCCGTCACAAGTCCGTGCGCTAGAGAGACGTGGAAGCGAGTGAGGAATCGTCACGTGAGGGGAAGTCAGTGTCAGTCTGGTCAGCTGATTGGATGATAGTGCAGTTTGTGGCCAAGGTAAAGGAATTCTTAAATGACCTAATGCAGGTGGGCTAACTCATCAAATGTCCACCAAAATTTCTAAATACATTTTCGCTTCAAAAATATCAATTATGTAGTGTCGTAAAACGAATCATTGTGCAGCAGAATTCTATCATAAATCAGTTATGTCAGGAGGTCGGCTTTCAAAGGAACATCTTTACGAATGCATGGAAGAACTGTACTTTGCGGAAAAATGATCACTGACGTAGCATGCAATTTTCTAATCGTTTTGGATGCCCTTAAATTTTAAATAATATTTCATGGAAAATAAACATAAAAATATTCATTCTTCTACTCATTTGGTAGTAAATTACGTCTTCTTTCAATCATATAGTCGGCAAGAGGGAAAATACGTTTTAAAAAGTTTCTAATTGTGACATTTTTTAATATTGTGAAATGTCCCGTCATAAAACTATGTGCCTCTGCGTTTAATAGTGCTGTTTGCAACGTTTCAAATATGGCTCATATCCACTGCAAAATTTTATGAACGCCATATATTCTCTTCTAAACACCGTAGAGAAATATAGGGTTGTCTGTACACGGAAAATATACGCTTTGTAGATTTGAAACCCTGAGTGCAAGTATAACGGTAGGTCGAGTTTAAAATTAATCGGGAATTGGAAAATGTTTTAAAAAAACCAAACAAAACCCCTTCTTCGGGTATAAATATGAAGTAAGACGTAATTTCATATAGAATGAGTAATAGAATGTATATTTTTATGCATGCATTGAACAAAATAAAATTGAATATTGAAGTGCATCAAAAACATTGAAAATAATATATGCGAACTACGTTGGGATTTATTATAGAGTACGGTTTTTGCATGCGGTTAAAAATAAATTCGTTCGAAAGGAAGGATCATGCCGTAACATAAATACTATAGAATTGTGCTGCAAGAGGAAAGGTTTTGCAACACTACATAATTCAGCATTTCGAAACAAAAGCGCCAGTCGCGATTTCGGTTACTTATCATGAATTAGCCCACCGCCTGTATCTCACGCGCGGCCAAGTTTCTGTACAGAAGACTGCTGGCTGACAGAGCCCGCGACGCGGGTTCGGCGTGAGTGAACAAGCGTCTCGAGAGAAGCAGGGATCAGTGTCAGTCTGGTGAGTTGATTGGGTGATAGTGCAGTTTGTGGCCGCACGAGATTGGTCATCGTCGAGGCTGAATGACCTCGGGAGTCATGATCAGATGACATCGAGTGCGGCATGGATGCCAGGGGCAGAGGACTGCTATGCAAATGGCACAAGAAGAAGAGGCCGCCTTGCGGTAAGCGCATGTAGCACATTTGCAGCTCTGCCGAATCGATTCCAAAAATGACACACCTTTGTACTCTGATTCACTAGACTTCCTAATACCATCAGTGCCTATTTCTCTCAATCATTGATGCTTCGCTTTGACAAGATCGCGTACACATGCGATAGAATGCAGCATTTGCGGAAATGGCCCTCTAAGTGGACGTTGGGAAATGGTGGCGAGAGGATGATGTACATATTTGGCCAATATACATACATAAACTTGAGGACGCTGACGAACACACATAGACAGAGTGAGAATGTACAGGTAGTTATGAAATGATGTATGCAGCGACAATACTATGTAGGCCTTGATCGTAAGATAGCTGCAACCAGCGACTGTGACCTAAGGATTCTGCCGGTGCGGATGATTTGAGCAGTAAATAGGAAAGAGGAGGAGGAGCACTCAATTTGTTCGCCGCAGTTCTCACTGCAAGTGTCTAAGTCCTCCACAAAATCTTCATCCCCATCAGTGCAGGCTACACAGGTCTTGGAATTTGGGTCGCATTTGTAGCGGCCTGCTTCGGTGCTGGTGGCTAATGATGTAGTAGTTGAGTTGGAAATGGAAGATATGATGATGTTAGACTGGACAAAGTGAAGGGATTCCTAAATGAGCTATCTCATGTGCGGTCAAGTTTGGAATATTCTGCGCAGAATCCTGTTGGCTGTCAGCAGGGGCGGCCGTAGTGACGTGAAAGTCCGTGCACTAGCGTGTCGTGGACGCGAATGAAGAAGGGTCACGTGAGGGGCAGTCATTTTCAGCCTGATCAGCTGATTGGATGATAGTGCAGTCTGTGGGCGCCCGTGAGTGGCCATCGTCAGGGCTGAATGTGCTCGGGAGTCATGATCAGATGACTCCGAGCGCGGCATGGATGCCAGCGGCAGAGGACCTAAGACTGAGACGCAAAACATGCAGAGATACGGCGCGCATCTCGGCATGAGTGGGCGCACCATGCTCTGCAAGCCTGTCAGGCATATAACCTGAAGCTGTTACACAAACACTGAACCTAAGTCATCAGTCGCCTCTTCCAATACCAATCAACCAGTTTCTACATCCGTTCTGTGTATGACCACGTATGTCCAGCGCAGTAACACGTCGAGTGCTTTGTTTGGAACAGTGATGAGTGCTGAGACTTGCCATGCACAAACAAGGTTGTGCTACAGATATCATCAGTGCAATGGCATAATGGCCTGACGGCACAGTTGAATTCCACGACGCCTACTGGGCATTCAAGCGGTTGCTCTCTCAGGATGAATATAAGCTGCTATGTAAATTGCACAAGAAGAAGAAACCGCCTTGTGGTATGCGCATCGTGGTAATCTCATGCAGCGCCGCCTCAGCTCTGTCTATTAAATTCCAAATACGAAACCTTTGCACTATGGTTCACCAGTCTACCTAAAACTATGAATAGCAAACGCCGATCGCCTATCTCTGTCAATGAGTGATGCCTCGCTTTTAAAGCATCACGTTGACATGCGAGAGAATGGAGCATTTGCAGAAATGGCCCTCTAAGTTGATTTTTGGAAATAGTGATGAGAAGATTATGTAAACATTTGACCAGTAGACCTATATATATTTTCGACGAATCTGGCGAGCACACACACAGACACAGTGAGAGTGTACAGACAGTCCAGAATTTATGCATGCAGCGACAATAATATTTAGGCGTTGGACTTAAGGTAACTGCAGCCAGCGACTGTGGCTGAAGGACTGTGCCGTTGCAGGTGATGATAGCAATAAATAGGTAAGAGGAGGAGGAGAACTCACATTCTTCATCGCAGGTATCTTGGCAGTCCTCCAAGTTCTCCTCACAGTACTCCTCATCTTCAGTGCAGGGTACACAGGTCATGGAATCTAGGTCACATTTGTAACCTCCTCTCTCGGGGCTGGTTGCTAATGATTTAGCGGGGAGTTGGGAATGGAAGAGAAGATAATGTTAGATTGGACAATGTGAAGGAATTCCTAAATGAGCCATCTCACGGACAGTCGATTTTTTCGGTCGCGACTCTAGTCGCATCAGACGGCCTGCTGCGCAATGACTTCGGAAGCATTCATGGCTTACATTGGCCATCGCATATATCTGCACAGACATCCTCATCCAGACTACAGTCATGAGCATATTCGGTGACTCCGCGTAATGACCAACGACGACGCTTTAACAATCAACTGTGTCGCAAAAGTCATGACATTTGTCAGTTTGCATGCCTTGTGCTCAAGTCTGCCTTTATCTATCTATTGACAAGCGGTAGTGATTTCGCTGTTGGGTGAAGACAGCAAGGCATACGAGATATGCGGGGTCTAAGCAGTGAGAGTGTCCTTGTAGTAACATAATAATCACGGCTCAGTCCAGCTTTAGAAGAGGAGGAGGGGGAGGAGGAGTAGGAGGAAGAGAAGGAAGAGGAGGAGGGGAAAGACACTAGTAGGATTAGAATATACTCTAGACAAGCCTGCTGTCCGTCAGAGCCCCCGACGGGGGCCAGGCTGTAGTCCCGCCCGAGTGCGTGGGCTAGAGTGACGTGGACGCGAGTGAAGAAGCGTCACGTGAGAGGCAGTCATTGTCAGACTGGTCAGCTGATTGGATGATGGCGCAGTTTGCGATTGGGCCAACGTCGGGGCTGAATGTGCTCGGGAGTCATGATGGCATGACTCCTAGCGCGGCATGGATTCCAGGGGCAAAGGACTAGAGACTGGTCTGAGACGCAAAACATGCAGAGACACATCGTACATTTTGGCATGAGTGGGCGCACCATGCTCTGCAAGCCTGTCAGGCATATAACCTGAAACTGTTACACAAACACCGAACGACATTTCCGGCCTTCATGTCTGGATTAGAGTATGCATAGGTAACTTGTGGTTTTCTCCCCCACACCTAAGTCATCAGTCGCCTCTTCCAATACAAATCAACCAGTTGCGATGTCCGTTCTTGCGTTCACTTCTGGAAGAGATCTCATAATTCCTATTTGTATTCCTTGTAAAAGAATTGACGCATTATGTGCAATGCTTTAGGTATTGCTAACATCGCGTTCTCGCATATGACCTTGTGCTTGTGAATTCAAGTTAGATGAAAATGTTTTTAGAATCTCACCGGAAACATTCATGTCGTTTTTAGTTTCTCCATTATGTTGGACTGCCATTCAGCGGATATTCTTGCACTAATAGGCATATTTGGTAAACGAGTATTTATATCTTGCCACTGTTTTACTGTATTAAACATGCTTTCTAGCCTTGCATTTCTGCAGTTTCTGTTTGCTTAATAAGGGCGCGACATTCAATTAATAAATATGTTTCCTATAAATTTTCTTCCATAGCCGTAACTACTAGCCACCTCTTGTTATTTGCCAATCATTTTTCTAGAATTTTGTGCTTCCTATATGCGCTGTTCCAGACGGTCTATTCGCAATTAAACATCATTTTCTCTTAGGATGATTTTTTGTTATGTATTCATTAGTGGGCGTCCAACGCTTGGCTTTGCTTACACATATCTCCATGAGAGTGAATTATTTGGCACACATATTTAATTAAGTGCGGTGTAAACAGGTCTACTATACTGAGGGGATGCCTTTCAAATGTAGAAATAATTTATCGTCATAGCTAACTGCGCGACGCATATTATTAATTGTTTAAAATGAGTAAGATTACTTGGGAAGAGAGTAATATTTAATGCCGTGTTCAGTTCGACATTAATACATTCTCCTGTTTTCTAAATCATACTGCTAATCCAGGGCCTCTTTGATTTCTTCCTTTAGATCATTTTGCTATTTTTTATGATTGGTAATGTTCTGTTGCGTTCTGTAGACGCCCAGGTATGTCCAGCGAAGGAACATGTCGATTGCTTTGTTTGGAGCAGTGATGTCGGCTGAGACTTGCAATACACATACAAGGCTGTGCTACAGATGTCAGCAGTTTAATGACCTTATTACTGAAAGAGACAGTTCACTTTCAAGACACCTACTGGACATTTAAGCGATCGCTGTCATGAGCGATAGTCGCAGGATGGATGTGGGCTACTCTGTAAATGGCAGAAGAAGAAGAGGACGCCTTGCGGTAAGCGAATCGATTTTATCACATGTAGCTCATCTACAGCTCACTCGATTCGATTCCAAATATGACGCACCTTCGTCCTATGATTCACCAGACTTCCTAATACCATCAGCGCCTATCTCTATCAATGAGTGATGCTTCGCTTTGAAAAGATCACGCACACATGCGATAGAATGGAGTATTTGCGGAAATGGCCCTCTAAGTGGACTTTGGGAAATAGTGACGAGAGGATGATGTACAAGTTGAGTCAGTAGACATACATAAACTCGACGAACCTGACGAACACACAGAGGCAGAATGAGAATTTACAGGCAGTTTTGAAATGATGCATGCAGCGACAATACTATTAAAGCCTTGATCTGAAGATTACTGCAGTCAGCGACTGTGGCCTAAGGAGGAGCACTCACTTTCTTTGCCGCAGGTCTCTTGGCAATCCTCTAAGTCCTCCTCACAATCCTCACCATCAGTGCAGGGTACACAGGTCTTTGAATCTGGGTCGCATTTGTGGCCGGCTGCTTCGGGGCTGGTGGCTAGTGATTTAGCAGGGAGTTGGAAATGGAAGTGATGAGGTGAGATTGAACAAAGTGGAGGAATTCCTAAGTGAGCTAATTAAGGTGGGCTAACGCACCGCATGTCAACCGAAATTCCGTAATCCGTTTTCGTTTTAAAAGGTTATTTAAGTAGTGTTGTGAAACCTATCATCATTTAACCTGTTTTCTACCCTAACCTTTTCGCGGTTTATTTTTCCTTTCCATTCCATTAATCAATATGTGTTTCCTTGAAATATTCGTTGATAGCCGTAATTACTAACCTCCTATCGTGCTTTTTAAAAATTCTCTTCGAGTTTTGTGCTTTTATAATGCGCTATTCCTGACGGTCTATTTGCAATTAAATATGTTTTCCTATTCCGACGATTTTCGATTATTTCATTAGGTGGGCTAACTTATGTAATATCCAAGGAAATTTCGAAATGAGTCCTGGTTTCGAAACGTTTACTTAAGCAGCTTTGTAAAGCCTATCATCGTGCCGCATAGTTATGTAATCGAAATTTACCGCAGGCTACCGGCTTTCGAATAAACTCATTTCCGACTGCGTGCAAAAACAATAATCTCCAAAGACTACATATTTAGCATGCAATTTTGTCATTGATTTTAGATGTTCTTGAAAATTCAATTATATTTAACGGAAGACATGCATAAAAATATTCATTCTTTTACGTAGTAAGTAAAAAATCACATCTTCGTCTAATTATATCCTCAAAAGAGGAGTATATTTCGGCTTCCAAATTCTTTTCTAGTTCTTGATTAATTTTGAGCCAGACCTGCTCGTATACTTGCATTTAGTGTTTCCACACTACGTGCCGTATATTTTCCGTGTACGGAATTCCATATATTTCTCTACTGTATTAAGATTAGACTATATATGAGTTCATAAAATCAAGCAGTAGATTTGAACAATATTGTTAACTTTACAAGCGACATTGGTAAATGCAGATTGATTACCTTTTATGAACGACCCTTTCACGGAATTTAAAAGTCTCTCTATTAGAGACTTTCTTAAAACCGAAATGTTTTTCTCCTTCGTGAAAAAATTTAAATGAAGGCGTTATTATCTACCAAATAAATAGAAGAATAAATATTTTTATGGATGCTTTCCGCGGACTATTATTGAACTCTTAAGGGCAGCGAAAATCAGTGGGAACATTTTATGCTACTTATATAGTCATTTTTTGCGTAGGGTTGTTCTCGAATGCAGTCGGAAATAAGTTCGTTCGAAGGCAGTCCCCCTGAGGTAAGTGGACAATCATTACGTTTACAACCATACTTACTTAATTTTTTCGAAAAAAGACCGCATTTAGAAATTTCGGTTGACATTTCATGAGTTAGCCCAACTACTATACTTCAATAGTTGGTATCTATCATATGCTTTTGCTCATTTATTTTACCTTGAATGTGAATTATTTAGAAAACGTATGTTCGGTGACGCAGCATGAACAGTCCTACTAGATGTACTCGATGACCATCATATATAAACATATTGCATCTTCATACCTAACTGCGAGATATATATTATTGGTTGTTCCTTGTTCAGTTCGGCACGTCTACATTCTCCTGTTTTCCAAATCTTACTGCTAGTCCAGGCCCTTGTTGGCTTACTTCTACACATAATATTACTATTTTTTATTATTACTAAATCACGCAAACAGCCTTACCCGATTCCTTTTCGCATTCTTTATAGCACGTCTTTAATTTTTGTCCGTGGTCCTTGTCTTTCGGTAGACTGAAGTAGTACGATTGCAGGTACGCCCGAGACACTGGACTGTATATGTGGATTTGCTGTTCCTTTGTTTTGTTTTCTAAATGCGAATTAAAATGCAAAATTGGTCATTTTGAAAGTTTGTTAGTACTGTTGAGCAGAAACATTACTCCTCACCTTTTTTGTCTATCTGACAGTTGAAATAACATTTCATGTAGTGAACGATGTTTCCTTTTCTGTTTTTGAATTTAAAACAGTCGCCGTCGAAGTCGAAACAGAGCGTATGCGAAACTGGAGAAGTCGCGTTTTCTGAAATGCAGCATGGGTTCAGCAGCATTATTATTAAATAGGGTGCCTGTGCATTTACGCACTTTTATTCAGACAAGGCGATTGTTTTGCACATTACTTTATATACCCAAGAACTGTGCGGATTAAAAGATGCAACAAGTTGCAATTTCTTTGCATAAACAGTCTGAACTAAAATACTGACTAAAATTTTATAATCACATTAGATTTACCATACGAGAGGAAACGACATGTATGCATGCAATCGCTCCACGCATTGTAGAGACCTAAACCTGCATCCATGTAGTAGACTGTTTCAGTTGTGCAGTACTTGAGGAATCTGCGACAGCGATATACGGTAAGCGGTTTCACTCCGGGTACTAAAATGAAAGAAAGGAATCAGACTGTGCACAGTTGTAATACATTAACGTCTCGTTTAAAATGAACTTTACCTTTTGCAAAGTTGCAAGAGTTAAAACACTGGTTGGTTACTTCGTCACCACCGCCTTCACTGCGAAATGACATACACTCGGAGTGGGGTTGTTTGCAAACCATAAGTTGTCCCTGTGAACTTACAGGTCCTAAAAAAGCGTGGATAGAGATGAAAGAGTGACGTAAAAACTCAAATGAACTGTAAAATCAAAAGCCCAGATGCACCCAAGAGTGAAATTAGTGTACATAAAATGCCACCGACAATCTTGCCTGCCTAAGTCGTATCATTGTATTAAATTGGTAAAATGTAAGTATCACATCGTTTCCCCGTTGTATCAGCATTTTAATATGATGTGTCTATTAAGTGACAAACTTGCCTCCTTTTTATCGGTGAATATATGCATGTGTCACGTTCACCATCTCCCGAAGAACAAAGAAGAACAGAGGACGAATTTTTGGACAATATTGTATTCGGACTGACGTTTCGGAAACTTCCTCCACTCCCGACATTCAGTTTACTATGGAAGAGGAAGTCAACAATGGGCTGCCCCTCCTGGACTTACAGGTTACGAAATTGACAGACGGGGAGATAAGGACAACGGTTTACCTTAAGGCTACTAATACTAGGCGCATCCTCCACTTCCCAAGCAACCACACAGTTGATCATACGCACTGTTGTGTCAGAAGTCTCTTTCGATGTGTTCAAACACACAGTAGCGACGAGATTTGGAGGAACGAAACGGGGAATTACTTACAGGCCCTTTTTAAAGCTAACGACTACCGGAAGTCCTTCATTTACAATTGCCTCAAAAAGCCTAATTTTGAGCGGTCGAGTGGAGAATAGCCCAAGTTCTGACTCTCAATACCGTATGTGAAGAAGGTACCAGAGGCAATGGCGAGAATTCCGAAACCTTTTGGGATAGTCGTGTCTCATAAACCCGAATGCACCATCAGACAGCAAATTATGAAGCCTAAAGACCCGCTACCAACAACGGAACAGTCGGCGGTGGTCTACAGCATACCTTGCCTAAATTGCAATGCGAGGTTCGTTGGTGAAACGGACAAACGACTCGGTACAAGATTACACGAACATCAACTTGCAATTAACCGCAAGGACAAGCTGCCTTTGGTCTATGGCCACATAAGAGAACTGAACCACGATTTTGCCTTTGAGAAAGCGAGGGTAATTGGTCGAACCAATGAGAACATTGCCGGACTGGTGCTCGAAAACTGGTCCTCGACTGGCACACTCAACCGAGCTTTAGATCTACATCCGCCTACCAGCGCTGCGTACAAGGGTCAAATCAGTCCGGACAGGAGTAGTTAGGCAAGTGAGCATGCGGAACCCAGAGTCAACGCTCACGGAAAAGAGCATAGTTAGGGGCTAGTGGTCCTGCGACCAAAACCTAACTCTATCTCACCGATGCGTCTGCGAAGCTGAATGCTGCTCGCATGAACAGCAACGACCGATTAGTCCAACGGCCGACTTGGGAGAGGCCAAGCGGCACGTTGAGTTGACCACAATTTCACCAACCCCAAAGGGAACAAAGGTCACGCAGGCCTGTCAGCAGTCAGCCCCGGGCAGGTATAAGCCAGTCAGCAGCAAACAGGCTGGTCAAAGTTCGTGCCCAGAGCACGGCTATGATACGAGACAATCGGCGACACCGAACAAATCAAGACCGGCAGCAGCAACAAGCACGCTACACTTATGATGGAGACGAGGAAGTTTCGGAAACGTCAGTCCGAATATAATATGGTCCATGAATTCGACCTCTCTTCTTCTTCCTCGGGAAAGGATGAAAGCTATACAATACCTAGACCTCGAATCTGTACGTATATCGATACATAAAGTAGGTGGGCTAACTCATGAAATGTCAACAGAAATTCCGAAATACATTTCCGTTTTGAAAAGATCAATCAAGTTAGATTGTAAAACCAATCAGCATGCAGCATAATTCTAAATTAATTTAGTGACCGCAGGACGCCGGCTTTCAAAATTCTTTTTGCTATCCGAATCTATAAACCATACTCCGTAAAAACAACACCTTATATAGCATGCATTTTTTCATTGATTTTCGATGTCCTTAAAGATTCAATTATATTTCACGAAGGATGGACATAATACGGTTTAAAAAAATTTCTAATTGTGAAATTTTTTAATATCGTGAAATGGCCGTTCATTAAGTGTCATGTCCATGCATTTACCAATGTGGATTTTAAAGTTAACAATGTGGCTCAAATCCACTACTTAATTTTATAAACCCCATATGGTCTTCGTACACGAAAAATATACGGCTTGTAGTCTGGAAACCCTGAATGCAGGTGTAACGGCAGGTCGGGTTCCAAATTATTCGGGAATCGAAAAAGTTTTATAGAACCAAATTATACGCTTCCCCGAGAGCAACATTGATAGCAGACGTAATTTTCTACGGAATGTGCAAGAGAATGGATATTTTTATCTACGTCTCCATGCAATATAATCGAACATTTAAAAGCATAAAAATGCAATGTAAAAAAGGCATGCTACATAAGTGGTCATTTTTTACAGAGTATTGTTTCTAAATGCAGCTGAAAAGAAGTATTTTGAACGCCGGCGTCCTGAAGTAACTGAAGTATTATCAATTATTCTGCAAAATGATTGGTTTTACAACACTACTTAATTGAGCTTTTCGAAACGGAATTTCTTTTGACATTTCATGAGTTGGTCCACTTACTGTATGTGTTCATTGCTTATCTCTCCTACCTTAAACCCATAACTGGAAATACAAGATTTTCATACGAATGATACGCAAGCAAGTTAGTAGGTGATTTCATATGTCTGCAATGAATTTCGATACAGATGCTGTTTACAGTCTATATAATAGTTTCCCAAACATCATCTTCAATCTAAGTTTTTCATTTTTTACCTAGGCAAAGTAATTAACTGTAAGTCTGTGTGGCGCAGCTTCAAACGAGGTCTAATTAGGTAGGATTTTTAAATACGCCGATCCATATATCTGACATTTGTCACGTTGATTATTAAAAAGGAGGCTTTTCCACTTTTCGATATAATAAAATGATAGGTGTGAAATTCCATGTACAACTTGCACATTATATTGAACTAACTGGGCACAAACAACAGTAAAATTGATGGATAATATGTATTTTTAGTTGTCCGTGCAAAAGCTTAAGCGTATTGAAATCTCATAGCTGTCAGCATCCTGAGTCAAGACGGTTTTTATACACGTCTACGATTGTGTAGGCTGGAGTACATGTAAAAATAATTTTTTTTGGACTGCACATTAAATTGCGTTTTTTAAGCATGCTCGGTTTCATAATAAATTTATTATAAGGCTTTTGTTAAACGATGATTTTGTTAGTGATCAGAAAATGTAATGGACAAGACAGCAACACATGCGTATTTCCAAAGCAAAGAAATTAACGGTCCTGTAGTATTTAAGAGGATTAATGGGAATTCATAAATAACAGCACTTTCTGGACAGACAAAAAGCAATAAACAAGGTAATGAGGAAATAAAGATATTTATGGCTTAATATACCCCATAGAACGAGAACGGCAGACAGGAGCGCAGTCAGGGAAGAGAGTGACATTGTGAATATACGACCTGCCAGATCTAAAAGTAACCTGTTTATATACGTTGGCGCCCTTCATTTATCATCCTATTGGGTAAAGCACATGACGTTTATTACGAGCAAGCACATTCAGATTTGGATTGGGCAACTTTCTGACCAGATAAAAACTGCCAATTATCGATTGCATGGTTTGAATAGAATGTCACTGCTGGCCACCAACTAGTTGTACATAAGATCATCAAAAATGCATAGCGTTATATTACTCTTCATTATGGAGTATGTCTGCGCATTTGGGATTCCCATTTTCTTGCCATACTAAAGTTAAATAGGGTTTCAGATCATGACAGCGAAAAAAATAAACTTTCAGATAAATTTGCTTGTATTTGGTCCTAAATTCTGTAAAAAAATAACGGGAGATGTCATACTTTTTTTAACCCTGGATATGTCTCGCTGTTGTCAGTTTATATCTTATGATATGCACTGAGCTTAGCTGATTAGCACACGAAATATCAGCCGCAAACTAGCAAGATCCTTTTCTGCAATGCAGAAATTATGGTTTTCCTCTTCACTGGCAAAGTGTCTGTAGATTGTTTCGGAAGCTGTGGACTATCTACTACAAATTCTCCCAATGACCGAGATAATATGAAAACGTTGCTCTCGTCACACCTACCAAAGCATTTACAAAAATATGAATTAACAGGCAAATTATTCTGAATTTCACTCATCCTGGTTTTCCCTTATAAGTGCATGCCCTGTGGCGTTTGTTCAAAACCTACCGCATAGCTCAAGGTGACGCATTTCAGTCGATAATCGTAACCACGGATTCATACTATCCCGCATCACTCAAAAGCAAAGAGACCTTATCCGAAAGCGCCCAAAATACACCATGCTGCATACATCTATTTTTAGATCACTGACGGCTCAAATTATTTTCATCCGAAAATGACTAAAATAATCGCGCCAGTTAATTTGGATGATCTAAATATATACTTTATATAAGGACGAGCAGGATTAATTTTCAAGCATTGTCGCGTTATATTTCGATATTCGTTAGGAAGCCCAGACTGGTTGAATTCACTTGGCATAAGTTATGCAAGTAAAGGGATAAATATTTCTTCCCCTTGAGCATGTTTCGGTTTGTTTGCAGAAGTTAACGGAATAATATTAATTTTTTCTGTGAAAAGTGACACAAATATACACAACATCATGTCGCGGTACCGTACATTTAAGCAGACACGGCAGTCTGTTAATGGCAGTTGCCGGAGCATGACAATTTACGTACAAATTCGAATACCGTATTATTATAAGTGTTTCTGGTTCTTATTCTTTCATCAATTTCAGACTGTAGCAAAAGTGAAGGTCCAGCATATTTAGTGAACAAGGCGTCAGCGGTAGAAGCGAATTTCGTGTATCCATGCCAGGTCCAAAAGAATGCAATCTATGCATCGTTGTGGTTCAGCTGTCAAAAATGCTTCTTTGAACAATCCTGTGTAAAGTGTAGGCCGAAAACAATTTTGCAGATAGACGTTTTATTTAATGCTCTGAGCGTCTGAATAATTTACCTTATACAAAGAATTCCCTAAGAGTTTAAGGCTATCTAACATACCAGCACAATTGTAGGTAACGGAGTTGATCGGTCACGTTGTGGTCCAGCTGAAATGATTTCTAGTGTCAGCCAGTGAGATAAGAACAATCCGCCTCCTATGATTGACAAACGCATTGCTTGAAACTGGTGTTACTTGCCAACGATTTTTAATTGCATACCTGTCTAACTGGCAACCAATAGGCATAAATTAAGAGATTACCTTTATTTGCAATGCTAAATGTCAACTTACGGGTGACGGGATGCAATTTTTGTGGGACGGTAGGCCATTTAGAGGATAATTCTCACATTACTTCTTAAGGGAACTCATGCGCAGTAATTCTGAGCTAAATAGACGAAGTCTACATTTCCTTGCATTTTCGTTCCCATAGTTGAAACTTGCGAAAGAACTGAATTTACCCGATTTTGTATTTGCTATAGAGTTTTTACCTCGAACGACGTCCTCAACTCCTAAATAGTCTGACTAAACTCCTTGATGTAATTCTGATCTGTACGTATAAGACATAGGTCTTTTATATGGCAGGTACTGACGGGTTCACTAGCCTTGCAGTCATTGTGCATCAGACAGCTTACCGACACTGACAGTGCTCTGATGCTTGCGTGATACTATAAAGATAGGAGTATGTTCGAGTCCATACATTAATAAAAATCAATAATCGTATCTGACATACGGAATTGCCGACTTATTAATCAAACCCCTGCGATTGAATGGTAATTAAAACTCGACATCCTTGATCGCTATTAAAGGGATGTCTTTTCGGCCCCCTTACTATTCAAAGACACAGGAGTGCATTTTACGTTCGACAGGTAGTGCTTAAATCCGCCTAAAGATGCCCGATCTCAAACCGAATTGTATGCTCCCTATTCCATACCAATCGCACGAGTGTGGTGTTCATAAAGGCTGGGAGTTTTTGGTCAATATGATTGCTACCCAAAGAGCGTAGTGAAATATTTGCAGTCACTATTCAAGCAGAGTTCTTTAAGTGCCATGTGACGTGTCGACTCGATCGACAGCAAATTTTTAACACTTCGTTAGGCATAAAGTGAGATGGATTTCGCAATCTGCACTAAAGTACCTAAGACGTAATCAAGTGCGTTCAGATCAACCCAAAAATCTTGCGCAAAAAGACTTGGTTTGCAGAACGTTTTAAAATTTCACAAGAATCTTCTCAAAACAGGGCGGATCGGGGGAAAGGGGCGGGAGAACATTTTAAGAAAATTCACGGAATATGTCAATTAAAACCTGCCTATCCCTAGTCTGCAGGGGCAGGTCTGAGTTGCGACTCGTTCAGACAACGTTTTTTGAGACACCCTCAAATGACAGGATTGTATTTCGTGCATTTTAGAAACGCCCATGTCGTTTTAAGAAAAAATGCGTTCACATCACAGCTAAAATATTTGCTTGGATAATCCACAAAATACTTTTTCAGTTGGGGTAACCATTAGGACGTTGCCAGATGAATGTTTGGCTTGTTAAATTATTCAACTCTGGCACGTAGTTCAAAAAACCAGCCGTCGTGGCATACCGTTATCCCTATTTTTAATGATATAGCAGTTAATAATAAGTGATAATGATTTGAGCAGCGTAAAATGTAACCACAAAGTTCTTATAAGTCAGACTTGACGATTATTATTCAGGCGTGCCGGGATGCTCATGCATTGTGTAAATTCGCTTGCAAACATGTCCGCAAAATTGTTAATATATTCACTCCGGAAACCAGCCTATTTTGTGTTCCTAACGAAAGTGGTACCTGTGTCAAAAAGACGACTAGTCATTTATTGCGATGAACCATTGTTAATTGATACGCACTGTAATAGATGTTACCGAATCTCAGTCCACCCTAGCCTGCGTTGGAAGGTTAGGATCTCGTGACGATATAATTTCCGGTATAAGGCTGATCGATAATATTTTTTTATTCCTGATTCTGAGAGAATGAAAACTGTGGACCAACTCCGGCTGCATTGCATTTTAGCAAGAGCCAGCATTTGAACATTCTGTTGCAATGTATCGTGTTCCGGTTATGCCTATCCCATCATATGTAAGTGATGATAATGGGTAGACGTTTCGGACAGAGTTGCGAGACCAGTCTGATCCAATTTTGGATAACAACGGCCTCGATGAGTTTTGAAATCACAATTTCTAGGGCAATGCAGTGAGAACCACAAACAGTTCAGTCTTCTGGTGAATTCCATATTGACTTATATTTAGATCTCGATTGAGCAGTCTCCTGGATGCATAGGAATTGCTGGGCAGTATACGATGAAGTAAGCAAGGCGAGTATGCCGGTCCAAATGTAATGAAAGTCGCTACACCTTCTGGTTCGAGCATCTGCTGTACTCAAGGCCTTGCTATTACTGTCTTGAATTCATATTTTGGCAAAGTCGTCCTGTTTCGTTTATCCATAACTGACGCGAGTAATCAGATTTGTTCATCAATAAGCCATTTGTATAAATGAAGATAGCTTAGGAAAGTGAAGTAAATGAAGAATCGTTAAGCCTGTATTAGATGACTGATTGATGTGAATGCTAAAATGAACACCTTTGGAAGATTTTTGATGGGACATGCTGCTCTTAGTAATTTGTCAGATACTAAAGTCACGTAACTGCAGGACTTTTCAGGCGAATTTGCCCTACTTGTTGTTGGTATCGACGGTGGCGGGAGTTTCTGTCCATGAGTCTCAATGTTAGATTTTTGACTGATATCTGCTGACTTCTGGATATGTTGAACTTTAGACGGTTGACCGACTAACATATGGTTTCCCAACTTCTTCACAATGTCTTGTATCCCGCGAGCATCACCAAGAGACCGGTTATTATCATAGGTATGTCGCGGCCTCCTTAATGTACATAACGCATAATTCAGGAGAGGAAATGTGTTTAACTGTTAATTAATTCTTCCCAATATCATGCACTATTATCCTGTATGCAGGCTCAAAGTTTTATAGGATATTTGAATGCCTGATACCTTTTAATTGCCTTATAAATTAACCGCAAGCCTGTTGAAGATGAGTATGTTTATGGTTTTAGGCTCAGGGCCGAAGTCTTGCGATCGCGCAGCATACTTCTGACCTGAATGGTATCTGTATTTGCATATAATGCGGGGTGACGCAGTCAATATTTAATTATGTAAGGTTATATACGATGGCATGCGCCTCGAAAGTCATACTAAACGCTGACGTAAATAGTAAGATTGGAAGAGCCGACATGGACGCAACACTGAGAAAAAAGTTGCTAATAAAATGATACAAAACCGCATTCGGGATTGATTTTGAAATATTTTATTTATTCATCCTTGCGATGTAGGCAGTACAAAATCCCAAGTATGAGCGCAGTTAGAGGGTCAAGTCAAAATACAAACCCCTTTAAGAAATGCAAATCAAACATCCTAATAGGCGGGTCCTGGTCTTACAACGGA